GAGAGTCCAAGGCTAACCTGGGCAGTTTAGTGATAGCCTGTCTCAAAATAAAACTAAAAAGGGCTGACTGCAAAACTAAGTGGTAGCGTGCTTACCTAGCATGCTTAAGACCCTGGGTTCCATTTGGACCACTTCAAGGGATATTTAGAGAGAGAGAGAGAGAGAGAGAGAGAGAGAGAGAGAGGAGGAGGAGGAGGAGGAGGAGGAGGAGGAGGAGGAGGAAGGGGAATATGCCGGTAAAGTGGATCGGTGGATAAAGGTGCTTGTTGCCAAGTCTTGACAACTTGAGTTCAGTCCCTAAAACCCATGGTAGAAAGAGAGAATTGACTCCATGTGTGTGTGGCTGTATACACACACACACACACACACACACACACACAGAAAGAAAAGAGAGATGTCTTATGGGCAGGAAAAGGAAGAACGACTTCTGGACCGCATGCACACCTGTGGTGTTGGGTCTTGTCCCCTTCCGTCTGATCCAGCCCTCTGGTGACTTTACAGAACCCTGCAGGCTGGATGTGATGGCACGTTATCCAGGTCATTATCTGACTGCTTCTAGCTTCACTGTGTTCTGACAAGTTCTTGGTCCCCTGGAGGCTGGTGGGGCTCAGCCAGTGGGTGCACAGGGGTTGACAGCTCCACCTGGCACTTGGGGTGACAGCACAGCTTGCCCAGAGTTCTGACTGGTTTTTACCCTTAACCCCTCTGGTCTGGAAGCGAGTAATAGACAGCCAAGCAGAGAAACTGAAAGAACTCGACAAGGAGATCCGTCCCTTCCGGCAGAACTGGGAGGAAGCAGACAGCATGAAGAGCAGTGTGGAGTCCCTCCAGAACCGTGTGACCGAGCTGGAAAGCGTGGACAAAAGTGCAGGGCAGGCGGCTCGCAACACAGGTGAGGCACTGGGTCTGAGGCAGCGGCTCGCACTTGCCAGGGCACCACTGCCTGAAGAGGTGGTGTGTTAGGCACAGCACAGGCAGCGGCACAACAGCCCCCGGAGGCGCAGGTGTTGCATGCTGAGAGGCTTCCAGCAGAGACGGGTTGTCACTTAGATTTGTCCCTCCACAGGAGTCCCAGCATGGCGGGGTACAAAGCCCTCCTTTAGAGAGGCTGACTACAGCATGTCAAGGCCTATTGGTCACGGTGCCACAGACACACTTGGAGGGCCCAGAGACAGGCGCAGACCAGGCAGGGGAGGTGGGCAGCCTAGTGCACAAGTGTCTGACACTGTGAGCAGATTAGGGCCTACAGCTTTGAGTGTGAACGAGTGCAGTGATGACCTCCGTGGAAGGCTCAGGGAGTAGGTGTGGATTACTGTGCTACATGGGTTGGTGTGTGCTTAGACTAGAGTAGGAGACAGCTTAGGCTCAGAGCCCAGGGTCCCTATGCATGCCAGGGCCATAAGGCAGGGGAGCGTGGGCAAGTAGGCCGCCAGGCTCTGACAGCTGTGGCCTGACAGTTGGTACACTGTGGCTACCAGAGAGGAGGGAAAGGACGCTATAATGCAGATGCCCCACACCTTGTTCACCCTGCACATGTCGGCCCTGTGCAGTCACAGTGACATCTGTGGGCCGCTGTTCCAGACACTGGTACATATGTGCTTCTCTGATGTTTGCATGTCTCGTTTGCCAAATGTTTTCTTGCCTGTGGCAGGCTTGCTGGAGTCCCAGCTGAGCCGGCATGACCAGATGCTGAGTGTTCATGACATCCGCTTGGCGGACATGGACCTGCGGTTCCAGGTCCTCGAGACCGCCAGCTACAATGGTGTGCTGATCTGGAAGATCCGTGACTACAAGCGCCGGAAGCAGGAAGCCGTCATGGGGAAGACCTTGTCTCTCTACAGCCAGCCTTTCTACACGGGCTATTTTGGCTATAAGATGTGTGCCAGGGTCTACCTGAATGGGGACGGAATGGGGAAAGGGACACACTTGTCGCTATTTTTTGTCATTATGCGTGGAGAATATGATGCTTTGTTGCCGTGGCCATTCAAGCAGAAAGTGACACTCATGCTGATGGATCAGGGGTCCTCTCGACGTCATCTGGGAGATGCATTCAAGCCTGATCCCAACAGCAGCAGCTTCAAGAAACCCACTGGAGAGATGAATATCGCCTCTGGCTGCCCAGTCTTTGTCGCCCAAACTGTTCTAGAGAATGGGACGTATATTAAAGATGATACAATTTTTATTAAAGTCATAGTGGATACTTCGGATCTGCCTGACCCCTGACAAGTAACTGGGGAGGTGGATTCAGCAGAAGGTAACTCCTCTGGGGGGTTGAAGCGGTCTGTCTTCACGAAGGTCCTCGCCCTCAAAAAGGACCGTGTGGAACAGGGTAAGCAGCCGGAGGAGGAGGAGGAGGCGTGGCTGGAGGAGCCACACGTGAAAACAGACCCCAACGGATTTCTAATAGACTAGCCACACTCACTCTGAAGAATTATTTATCCTTCCACAAGATAAATACTGCTGTCAGAGAAGGTTTTCATTTTCATTTTTAAAGATCTAGTTAATTAAGGTGGAAACATATATGCTAAAAAGAAACATGATTTTTCTTCCTTAACTTGAACACCAAAACCGAAAACACACATGGAGGTAGCTGGGCGTGTCAGCATGTTAATTTAAAAGGAGAACTTACGAAATAATAATACAGTTTTGATATATTCATCCTAAAATTCAAGAGTGCAATCTTGTTTCAAATATAGTATATTGTCTATTTTTAAGGCCTCATCTGGTCTCTGTTCTAATAATCTGTTTGTCAGAAGGCCCTGAGTAGACATCAAGTCTCTAAATTCAGAAGTCATTTTTAATTTAAAGTTCTACAAATAATTGTTACTGCAACATTTTGTTTTAAAACGTTGATAGACTGATATTTCTTGGAAGAAAATGTAAAATATCAAACACTGGTTATCACTTGTGATAGGAAAGAGAATATTCAACCTGTCGTTATTTCTCGTTAGAAATGTAACCCTTCACTATCTGTCGTAGTTAGTGACATACTTCCCAATGACTATGAGAGGGACAATGCTCATGGATGCTGTGCATCATTGCAGACTTACAGTTGTCTTCACCCTAAAATAGGGCATTAGTTGAACTTTGGAGTTCTACACAAAACCCTGTAGGTTTTTAAAATTCTGCCCCATGTTTAGACAAGCTCTCTGTTGCTGACAGCACCCGCCGCGGTCTCCAGGGTCCAGTGTGTGGGGATAGGCAGGTGACCTGTGCCGCAGGAGGCCCCAGCAAGTGTTTCTCATCCTGTCATACTGCTGCAGGAGGCTAATGATCTCCGAAAGCAACGTCTGTGCTCAGAGATGGTGGCATACGGTACATGTGCCTTAGATGTGACATGCTGCTTCTCGTCCTTGGGTTTGCGTTCACCATGATTCTAGAAAGTGGTAGTTTAACCAGATCTTTCTCTCTCCACCGCCAATCTTTGTCTCTACCAGGGCCCTCAGACAACTGTGAACCTGCCTGGGGAAGCCAGGCCTCCATTGGCAGCTTCTGGAGGCTCTGCTGCTAAATAGTCACGGATTCCAACTCTAGGCCCCCAAGAGCAGCTCAGTCCCACCCCAAGGGAGGGAGGTGTAAGCAGAAGCCACACCCTTCCAAGTCTCCACAAGGGCCCTGAAAATCCCCACAGCATGAAGGAGAAGCCCCACCCACCCACCCTAAGCATTCCCAAGACCGAACCACTGGTCTGGGGGCCTGCCCAGGCTGGCCAGCAGCGGCCCTGGCCTCCCTGTTAGAAGGATGGCCAGCTGATGCCCCAGCCTGTCCTGTCCAGATGGCACTCCCAGCTCACTGTTTACGTCTCTCGATGGTCCAACTGTGATAGAAGCCTGGAGCCCTGCCCCGGTGCCCCTTTTGCTATGCACCACACTTCATGGTGCTCTCACACTGATGGGTGCTACACGCGACGGGTGCTTCTTAGGCAAAACCAATGTGTGCGAACCACCACATCTGTGCCACTTGCCCAAAAGGCGCGCCCACAATTGGCCAGCTGGGCCCGCGCTTCAGACTGCCTGCCTCTGGGCTCTCCCCATGGTCGCGCGGGGACAGCTGGGTTGGTGCCTGGTGGCCCACCTTGTCTCTGGTGCTGCCATCTGTCCTGGGTGTGCCTTTGCCCCAGTGCCTGCTGGAAGTGCCCTCCTCCTGCACACCTGTCCCCATGCCTCCATGAATGACCTCCTGGTCTCCAGCACTTGTCCTGCCCTTCCATGGCTGAAACATTGGGCTCCTCACCTGCTGCTCCCTTCTCCACTCTGCTGGGATCGCTTTGGGGTAAGTCAGTGGAAGCCTGCAGAGCCCACATCCTTTCAGAAGTACCCTCTTTTCCTCCAGGCCTGCCTCTCCCCCCCACCCCCCACCCCGGGGTTCGTCCCCAAAGACCTGGAGTCGGGAGGACCACCTGGCAGTCCTTAGCTGGCCTCAGGTAGCTTTTTCATGGGCAGGTGTCAGCAGCAGGGACATCCTTGCAACACCCCTTTGAAGAAGTCAGCACAGGGCCAATAGGTAGAGGCCAGCAACATCGTGGGCCGATAGAAAGCATGCCTGTCTGTAGGTTTAGACCCTGCTATGAGGGTGACCCTGAGGGATCCTCAGGCACTCCCTGTTAGTGAGACTTTTTACAAGACTCTTCCTATGTGATGCGGACCCTCCTGCCCCCCCCCCCACACCTGCAGGATGTGAGGAAAGCAACTAAGTAACTGTTGTCCCCTGGGATGAGGGCCCAGCATGTCACAGCTTCCTGTAGTGTGTCTTTTGCATTTCTTGGTAACAGTAGAGTAGTGGGCAAGCTCATCCCTTTGTGCCCTGTCTCAGTGTGTGAAGGACGGGCGTGCGAGACATGTCTCCTGGGAGGTGTGGAGCATGTCATGTCCTGCCTGGGTGTGTCTTGCTCTGCTCCGGCTCAGCATTCCTTGGTGCCCCCTTGGTGCTCACCGCCTGGGCCAGCTTTGGGCTGTGGTCTCAGCATAGTTGAGGCCCTGCTGCCAGTTCTGGCAGCCAGCCCTCTCCATTTCACAGGGTCCTGGCCACAAGAAACACAGGCTGGTCGTGCAGTGTGTACCTGGCTGTGCGAAAGTGTCAATTGCTCACTCTATAAAGGCCATTTGTCCTGTGGCCTCCATGAGGAAATTGGACACAACTCCTGCTTGCCTGGGCCAGTGTCTGTACCTGCTCAAAGCCACCCCAGTAAGATGCAAGCCACTAAGTAGCAGTGTGTCCTGAGGCCTGACCCGTGGTTTTTGTGAGTAGTGGAAAGCCTGTGTGAGTAACAACCCAGGACCAGGCTGGGAGTGAGCGCCTTCTACCTTCCTTGGTCAGGGAAAGGAAGGTAGCCTGAAGGCCCTGACTGGGCCTCCCTTACTTCTTGGGGATAGACAGACCCAACCGAGGCCGTGTAGCCTGCCAGGCTGTGGGTAAGACAGAGCAATGGATGAGACTGCAGATGAGTATGCGTGATGGGCTCATGGAGGAGAGTAGCGCCCACACCCCAACCTACCCAGCTATCAGTTTCTCTCGAACCCATGCTTAGCATTTGAAGAAGCAAAGGGCTGTTGAGGGAGCCTGCACCTCAGTCCATCTCCATCTCCCCTTGAAGTAGCCTATGCACAGATGTACCGTGTCCCTAAGACAGCAGAGCAGCCAGACGGCACAGCAGTCAGCTAGCTGTAGGAGGTGACTGCGTACGGCCACGTCCTGCCTCCTTTCTTGTCTCTTTTCTTTCTCCATTTCCTCCAAAGACTGGGACTCCAGGGAGCGGTGGCATGAAGCACTGACTTTGCTCCCTGGGCGGCCTCCAGCAGGGCCTTCAGACCCACCACCACCAGATCCCCTTTGAATTGGCTTTGTCTCACTATCTGTGGTCAGCCTCATGAGGCCCTGGAGGTCAGACGCAGTCTCTTTCGGGTAGCTGGCCACCTTCCCCATACCTCCTTAGTCTGCCCCAGAGTCCTACCTGGAGTCGGGACCACATGCCTGCTCCCTTGGGCCTGACATTAACGATACCACTGTGACTGAGCAGTGTGTGGTAGCAGTCACCCATGACAGGCCTGACGAGCAGTGGACTATATCCAGCAAAGGGGAGTGTGTCTGGGAATGCCAAGCAACAGGGTCTCGGGTGGACTACTGCTGCTGGCCCAAGAGGAGAGCAGGGGGAGGGCCAGTGCCAACAGCATGACCCTTGCCGCCTCTTCACCCCTGCACACTGCCAAGCATTGCAGGGAAGCACTTTGTACCTGACCAAGACATTTCCCACCTGACGGGGGACAGGGTGGGTCAGTCCCTACCCTCCTATACATCCCTCTGCTTGGGACCATCAGTGAGTGGAGAATGGCTTGGTGGAGCTTAGGGTACTTTTTTTTAAACTTTCAATCCAGCCCTGTCCTGGCTCGACTGCAGGAGAGCTAGTGTGAGTTCCAGGCATGCCATTCATTGTGTCTGAGTGTGACAAATGAGGGTCTGCCTCCAAATCTTCTCAGACTAAGATCATGGTTTTTGTCTTCCGTTTACAAATCCATAGCAGCTCTTTTCTCCAGCCTAGAACGTGTCCACAGGGTCTGGGTCAGGTGAGGGGATAGTTGGCAAGTGATCCAGCCATCATTAACTGTTTCACTCCAGCTGGTGCTGGTTGCCGTGGGCACTGTGGCATCAGGGAGCCAGGCCTGCAGGGACAGTAAAAAGAGGCCAGCAGCCCATCACAAAGACCTGGACATGCCCCAGCCTGTTGTCCACTTGGAGGGTTCCCTGGGCACCATTGCTAGCAGGTGGGCAGTGACCCACACAAAGGCAGCCATACAGCTAAGCAGGCCCAAGTAGCCCAGCAGGGTGATTCATTTCCCCTGCCACACCATGTCTGGAGTCTTTCTTGTGAGTTCACTGTGGAAAGGAGGTCACTGTGCCACTCCGTAGTCAGTGGTGACTGGCGTACACCCTTAGTCCCCTTTAGTCAAGTCAGATAACCTTCAAAAGCAAATAAATGACCTAATTGGAAAACACAAAAGCCGGCCTTCCTTCCAAGGATTTCCCTAAGCATCTGTAGGCGCTGACTGAGGAAGTGGGGATTAATGCAGACTGCTGTGGAGTTGCGTTCTTTTCTCTGATGGCACGCCTCTTGTGTTCAGTTCTATTACCCAAAAACAAAGACCAAAGAAGGCCAATCTCTCATTTGACTGTATTTCTAATCTGCCTGTTTTGACACTTGCCGTCTGTAGTAACCGCTCGCTGTGAGGCCCCATCTTGACAGTCCAAGTGATTGTGACCAGTGATTAGCGTCCCGTGTTCTTCCGCTCTTCTAAGAAACTGAGACAGTGTGAGTTATTGCTCAGCAATAATCCTGTCACTAGGAGTTAGCAACATGTCTCATTTCCTGATAGCATTATGATGTTTTGTATTCTGTTTACTGTATGTTATGTGTGGTTTCATTTGGTATTTATTTGTGTTTTGAGGTCTTGCGATGTTTCTGTTCTGCTGCTAATAATAAAGTTTGTAAGACTGTAGAATGCAAAATTTTGCAATGCTAAAGTGTCTATTAGAGGAAAATAAAGCTGATTTAAGAGTCCTGAGTTCTTACTGCAGTCTGTCACCACTGAGCTTTGGGCTGGCCTCCTCCAGCTGTTCTCACAAGTGGCTAAGTGACAGCTGCCTGCGGACACCCTTCCTTCCAAGCTGCCACCATCCTGAGATACCAGAAGGTTCTGAGCAAGGCCTGTTTGCTCATGTCACCCCAGGTCTTGCCTGCAGCTCACAAGACCGTGTGGCGGTCCAGGGTGAAGAAGAGAACACGGGTGAGAACCAGATCCACAAGTACCAGGACTAGATAGGAGCCGTGACTGGGCGGGGAGCCCATGTTCTGAAAGCTCTGTCTCAAATAGAGAGCATGAGGCTTAGAGAGGAAGGCAGGCCCCGGGCTGTCTGGGGCCCATGTGCTCTGTCCTGTGAGGGGTTGCTGCCTATGGCCAGGCATCACTCAGTGCCCCCTGCCTGCTCTGTAGGATGCTGCCAGGTAACTAGAACCACACATGGGAGCATTGGAGACTGGGAAGTCTGGTGTTCCCCCTTTTTGGAAATGGACAATTTCATCAACACCTCATTTGTAAAACCCTGGAGAATTCAAAGCCACCTTCCCTGTCCTGTTCAAACCCTGCCACAGCCACCTGCAGCAGAACCCTGAGCACAAGCTGGTGGCCCACAATTCAAAATAGGGACTGATGCCATGATAGTGGAACCCAGGGAACTCCTGGGAACTGGCAGGGCCTGTTGGCCCAGGCTGAGGGCAGGGATGGTAGAGGGCTGACTCCTGGAGTAGCAATACACCCGTACCTATGAAGGTTTCTCTCTGGCATCATGTGAGCTAGCATCTGTCCCCAAGATCCCATGTAGGGTGAATCCTCTGGTGGCTTCGGACTACTGGACCCTGCACCTCCATCCTGTGCTTCAGTTCCCAGGGTGCCTGCACTGCAGCCCCCTGGGGTGAAGCACACCAGGGCCATGGCACTGAGCTCAGAAGACTCGCCTGTGTGCCCCTAGCTATGGAACTTGGGACCCTGCCACTGAGCTGCCCCCACCTCTGTAGGGTCCTGAAGGCAGCCCTGTGACCACACTGTGGGTGGCCAGCTCAAGGGACCAGCTCTGGGACTGCTTCTCACTGGGATGCCACCAACCAAGCTGCTCCTAGCCAAGCAGCCTTTGTCCTTGCAGGGACCCCGCCCAAGGAGGGACAAAGAGTGTTCAGGCCTGGAGTCAGCAAGCCTAGCATCCAGCTGTGACTTCCCCTGACCCAGAGACCTATGGCCTTCCGGTCTCAATGCAAAGGAACCAACAGAAGCTGACAACTGGCCATGTGAGGGGGAGGAAAGACAAAGGCTGCTGCTACCTCTTCATCCTTCGGGGCCAGTGACTTAATGGTATCTCTCAGAACAGGACTCCTGGGAGCCCTCTGCCTTCCCGCTGTCCGCCCCCACTGCCTACAGATAGAGAAGGCAGCAACCGCCCAGAGAGCCTGTCCCACACCCCAACAGGAAGGGGAACCTGGCTCTGGAACCCCCTTTTCAGTTGGAAGAATGAACCAGAGGTTTAGAGGGCTGGAGAAGTTCCCAGCATTGGAACCTCTGAGTGTAACTAGGCCAACCCATCCAATCACATTCTCCACCCCACCCCTCAAAGCTGTATCAAGCCAGTCTCAGCAACAATGGGCCAGCCCCACTTCTAGCTTTGTCCACCTCCTAGCCTCCCATGCCCCTGCCTCAGTGCCTTGTAGGCTTTATTTCTGCAGACATCCTTGTCCATCTGTCTTTTGCTTACCCCTCCCTGCAGCGCCACAGGGCTGTCATTCAGGATTCCCACAACCCCGGGGTAGGCCATGCGCCACAATGACCAAGCACAAAAACAGCCAGATTAATTGACTGCACAGTTTGAATGAACCAATGGGAAGCCTCGTGGTGACTGTATCAGCGGCCTAGTGAGGAAGATGGCTTCCCTGGCATGTGAAGATTGACTGTACAGATAATCTGACACAGGATGGCAGTCAAGCCACAAGAGCGCAAGTGCCAGCCACCCCCTGGCTCCACCCTCACCTGCAGGAGTAGCCACGCTATGAGTATGCCTAGTTACTCCAGGGTTCTGCATTTCTCCCACTTCCTGTGAAGGTCCTGACCAGTTCACAGGTGTGTGTCTACATGTGCCTGGGGTCGTGTTTGCAATCAAGGGCTCTCTGTAGACACACTGCCTGCTGGCCCCAGCCATTCTTCCTGCCCTGTGACTGGAGCTGTGAGCCATCCTTTCTGTGGCTGCCTCTTACAGGAACCCTCTTTGCCCAGGCACTCTCACTGCCTTTCCCATGTGGCCACCTTGTGGCTCTGAGCATCCGCCCGGCCACAGGAGCTTATGTCCTATGGGTCATACTGGCTCAGCAGCGAGAGCCAGAGCCCAATCTATCACAGAAATAGAACAATAGGCAACAAGAATGTGACACCTCCCACCCCACCCCCACCCCCACCTCACCCCCGCAAGAGTTTCCTTTGTGCATGGCCTAGCTGGAGGCCAAGAGCAAGCCCCTCTCAACAGCTACTCCTGCTGAGCCAGGACAGCTGATGCCCCCTTTGAAGACAACTGTACCAGAGTAAAGGGTAGATCGAGCTGATTCCCTGGCCAGTTTGGGCCCAACTTGGGTGTGAAAATGAGTGCCCCCTAGTGGATGAAATGCCTTCTGCACGGGAGAAGCAAAAGCATGGAGGGTTAAGGACTGAACTCTGCAGATGAGTGGATGACTCCAGGGAGGAGGGCTCAGGGGGTCCCCAAGCCTGAGGACCTCTTCCCTCCCATCACCTACACATCCATCCACCATCCTCAGGTGCGCTATCACCCTGGCATCCATCCGTCACCACCAATTCGAACCCAAGCTGATCCCTCCAACACCCCTGCTGTGGCAAAACATCCAACAAAGGCAACCTCAGGAAAGAAACGTGGATTTGGGCTCACAGAGGACGCAGCTGGGAAGGCATGGCGGGATGAGGCAGCTGGTCGAACTATGGTGTGCTGCTTCTCGGGAAGCAGAGAGGGTGCTGCCGAGCAGCTTGCTTCTGCCTTCAGGTTTAGTCTGGGACCCCAGCCCGTGGGATTGTGCTGCCCGTATTTGATGCAGGTGTTCCCTGGAAATACCGCCACAGACACACCCAGAGGTGTTTCCATGGAGACCAGTTAGGCTGACAAGGGAGTTTAACCATCACACCCTTTCACTCACATTCCTTTCCCCCGGTACTTTCTGCACTCATCTGTTTTGCCCCACAGGGACACGTGACTGGGCAGGGCTGGATCACAAGGGACAACTCTCGAGTTACCAGTGTACCTCTGGACAGGGAAAAGCTTCCCAGTAACCTCTCATTATCCCCGTTTGCCCGTTCCCCATCTTTTCAGCATCCCCCAAGCGACCTATCTCATCTACCGTCCATTTCCACCCATTTCCCCATTAAAAAGTCCACACCTCTCCTCCCCCTCCCTGTGACCTCAACCAACCTTCCATCCAGATGTGCCTACCAACATCTTCACCCACAGCAACACCCAGCAACAGCTCATCGCCCATCCTTCACAGCCCGCTCTCCTCTACCCACCATCCCCCAGCCACCCACCATTCCCACACAACCTGTTCATGTCTGTCTGCTCATCACTACCCACACTGCCACTGCCCACTGTCCCCTACCCACCCACCCACTACTATCCGTCAGCCACCCTCTGCCACCGACCTAGTCATCTCCAGCCACCGTCATCACCTGTTGCTCCCAGGCATTTAATACCCAGCGCTGGGAGCCTCTGTCAACCCTGAGCTCACATAAGCCCCCTCCCACTCCTCCATCATTTGGTGACCGACTGTCCTTACATTTTTTGCATTGATCCTTCCCCATTCATTGTCCACCCTGCACAGTCCACCCTGCCCTTCTCCAACCCACGCATCTTCACGGTCCCTCTACCTATCCAGGAACATCACACTCTGCCCTACCCACGTGTCCACCTTCAGAACCACCACACATCTGCCCTTTGGCTTTCCTTCCTTTCCAGTCTCCAGCACATACAATCCATGCAGAGCATGAACTCAGGCCAGGAGTTCCGGCCTGGAGAAGATGGGCAAAGACAGCTGAGCCCCCAGGGTTGTTGGCTACTTCCACGCCATGTCACAGGGAAAGTCAGGCCAACACCCTCTTACTGGGCACCCGGGGCCCTGCCCTTTAGGTCACTGAGAAGATTCCTCCAAGGAGCCTCAGGAGACAGCTGGGCGGTCCGGAGGTAAATGTGTAACATCTGGGCGCCCCCTGCCCCTCAGCCCCACCCGGCCACACGGGCCGGCGGAGCAAAGTCCGCACCTGCAACAGGAGAGCGTCAGCAGCGGCGAGATGGACGCTCTGGGCCGGGTCCTGCTGTGGCTGCAGCTCTGCGGTAGGCCGGGGTCTGCGGCCCCTGAGCTTGTTTCTCTAGGCCCGAGGGGTCGTGATCTCAGGGCAGGGCGGGAAAGGGAGGCGGCGTTCGCAGCCTGCCTCGATTTCCCGGTCCTCTGGCATGGGCTGGTGAGGTCGCCAGTGCCCAGGAGGTGGAGAAACCGCAGTCCTGTCCCTGTGGACTCCAAGGCCCTCGCGGCTCCTCTGTGCGGAGTAGGGCCAGGGCCTTGGCTCCCGGATCCCGGGACGCCTCTCTACGCCCAGGGCGTTTCCCGCCAGAGCTCCTTTCTGTGTCCTATTCCCCTCCATGCCCGGAAGTCCGCGACGGGTGAACAGGGACGACGTCCCGTGGGAGGGCACGTTTGCGCGGGCTCTGCAGATCCGCTAAGAGTGCACCGGAGAAGGCCGCGCAATGGGGTTCCCGTGAGGTCTGACCTCCTGCGCTGAGAGACCCGCGCCCGGGTCGGGGCCACCTCGGGGACCCGATCTGCACCAGGGGTGTGCACCACTGTGGCACTTCTCTGGAGGGCCGCCTTCCTCGAGGGAGGCAGACACCCAGCCTTCCTTTCTCTAGCACTGACTCGGGCCGCCTACAAACTTTGGGTCCCCAACACCTACTTCGATTCTGCCTCCAACTGGAGCCAGAACCGGACCCCGTGCGCGGGAGATGCGGTCCAGTTCCCGGCGGACAAGGTGCCTTGATAGGGGGTGGGGTGGGGAGGGGGCATTGGGGTGGGGAGGTCTGCCAGCCCCGCAGCTGACGCCGCCTCTTGCTGCAGATGGTGTCGGTCTTGGTGCGAGACAGTCACGCCATCTCGGACATGGTAAGGCTCGGGGCTGTGGCCACAGGGAGGCATGACTGCCCCAGGGTCGCCGAAGGTCCCTCTCCAGGCCTCTGTGCGTCGCCACGGGAGCCGCTGGGTGGAGATACTCTCTGGGAGGGGACATCAGAGAGCACATGGGGTCTCACAGCCCAGCTCCCCCCACCCCCCACCCCCAATCTGCTGTACAGGGTGGGCTCTGGGAAGCCGCCGGCCCTTTCCCGTCCTGGAGGCCACGTTAGCAACCTGCCTGCAAAGCCAGTGGCCCAGATACCCCGGAAGGTTAGAAGCAAGAGGCTAAACAGCCTCTGCCGCCCGCACATGCTAAGACTTCAGTGAGCCAAAGGCTGCCGGCCTCGGTACCCGAGTTCAGTTCCTGTGGTTGGAACTAGGACTAGGGGTTTTCTGCACCCCACCTGTGTGCAGTGTGCACACAGGCCAGAAGAGGGCGCGGGGTCCCTTGGAGCTGGAGTTACAGATGTTTGTGAACCACGGGTTGTGGGTGCTGGGATTCAAACCCGGGTCCTTCCGGAAGAACAGCCGGTGCTCTTAACTGCTGAGCCGGCAACACCACCAAACCAAACCAAACCAAAAGAACAATATTTCATAGCAACCCCCACCACCACCACCACCAAATCTCCATTTCGGTGCCCAAGTTGTTGTTTTTTTTTTTTTTTTTTTTTTTTGGTTCTTCAAGACAGGGTTTCTCTATGTATCCCTGGCTGTTCCGGAACTCGTTTTATAGACCAGGCTGGACTCGAACTCAGCAATCCACTTGCTTCTGCCTTCCAAGTGCTGGCCGGCAAGAAATAATGTTTTTCTGTAGGTCAGGGTCTCAAGTAACCCAAGGTGGCTTTGAACTCACTATGTTCATGAGACTGACCTGGAACTCCTGACCTTCCCATCTCACCTCCAAGAGGCTGGGATTACAGGTGTGAGCCACCAGCCAAGACTCAGTGCCCAAATTTTAACCACACCCATCCTGCACTGAGTGCTCACTGGGGCTCGTGGGTGTGGCAGACCCAGAGGACGGTCCCTGTCTGAGCTGTGACAAGGTTGCCCCAACCCACTTAAAGCACCACCTCTCTGGCCCCAGGGACAGTGATAGGTGTATAGGTGAAACCCTCCCAGGCAGTCAGCTCTCCTTCTCGCTTTCCTCTTCAGCACCCCAGCTCAGGGTGCCAGGGATGTCTACGGGGTCACTCTGAGGAGGCAGAGTGTCACTCTTATTTCTTGGAGTCCCCTCCAGCTTCCTGTGGCCTCATCTTGGACCTCATCAGTTCCTCACACATTCCTCCCTTGGAGTTTTTTTCTGCTCCTACCCACTTCTATCTCCATCTTTGTTGGTGGACAAATACCCAGCCCTTCCCCCCTTTACCTCAACACAGGGGTCTTCCTTGTGGTTCTGATTGTCGCAGAGAACCCATATGCACACCCCAACAGAACCCGAGCATTTGAGTTGCCGAGTTCTCCCTTCTAGAGCATGGGCTGTGTCTCCCAATATTTCCACCAGCTTCATTCTTCTACAAACTTAAGATGCTCTCCGAGTGCTGGCGCATGTCTTTAATCCCAGCACTCTGGATCAGAGGCAGTCGGAGCTCTGTGGGTTCAAGGCCAGCCTGGTCTATAGAGTGAGTTCCAGGACAGCCAGGGCTACACAGTGAGATCCTGTCTCAAAACAAAACAAAAAATAGGTGGTCATCCAACCCAGAGCTCCCATCCGGCCCACAGGTCCACCTGTGGAGGACTGTGTTTTCATTGTATTGGATTGGAGCCTTGAAGTTTGGGGAAACTGTTGTTCAAATGTGTAGCCATAATTGAAAAGGAAGACTGACACACATTATTTCATCCTAGAAAACAGGAAAAGTTTTCAAAATTCTGGATTCCCAGTTTAATGATCATTAAGAACTTATATTGAAGAAATTCAGCATTTTTCTATAACTTGTATATAAATATATATAATGCTACATAATACTATAAATTTTTCATTAACTAAAAAAAAAGGTGGTCATGTAGAATACTGACTAACTCATAAGTACTTTATAGAGTTTTGTCTATCATGAATGGTACCCTTAAAAATTATATTCTAAGTCGGGCAGTGATGGCGCACACCTTTAATCCCAGCACTCGGGAGGCAGAGGCAGGTGGATCTCTGTGAGTTTGAGTCTAGCTTGGTCTACAGCATGAGTTCCAGGACAGCCAGGGCTACACAGAGAAACCCTATTTCAAAAAACAAAACAAACAAAAAGAATTATATTCTATAGTTCCGTTGGCTCTTCTCATATGAAAGATGGCAGTCATTCCTCCTGTTTTTAGACCTATTTATGTCTTTTTCTTTCCTTATTGGTCACGCTCACTACTTCTCGACGCAAACCGATGGGCGAACCGCGCTATAAAAGTTGCCTTAAATATAAGGCGAGCGCTTTGGCATGCTCACTTCTATCGAATTAGGAGCCCTTGTCAGGTTGTCTTGTTAATGAAAAAGCATGTTACATTTCTCTACTGGGTGCCATGCCGGCTCTAAGTTTGGATGACGTAAGCTTTAGAACATTGTAGAAATTCTATTACTAAAGCTTAACAGCTTTTTAAAAAAATTAAGTAGGTAGTTGAACTTTTCAGTGTCATGTCCTAATGGATTGAGATGCGAGTTCCAACTTCAGTTTCAATTCAGAAAAAAAACAAAAACACAAAAACACCCCCCCCCCAAGTCTTCCTGGCAACATGTGCCTGCAGCACCTGAAGAGGCCAGAAGAGGGCGACATATAACAGCGGGTTGTGAGCCACCATGTGGGTGCTGGAAATCCAGCCTGCATCTTCCGCAAGAGCAGTCTGTGTCCTTAACCACTGAGCCATCTCTCCAGCCCTCTGTTGTCTCTGTATATCCTGTGTGATCTGTCCTTCCTTTCTAGAATATTCTCTGTGCTTGGTATTAAACATGCTGTACATGTGTACATGAGGGTTGGATTCTGCTTGCTGGCACTTGAGCTGAAGTTTCCCAGCCTCAGGTGTTGAAGCCCGCCCCCTGGTGTCATGTTTCTGCCTCGGCCTCCCCCAGCCCTCGTGTGTGGAGTTGGGTCTTAGCTGTCCACCGTTCAGGACTTCTCTGCTGTCCTCTGTGGAGCCTGGCCTGAACACTCGTCCCTGAACACCCTCAGCTGGATCAGCCCTGATGCTTATTTCATCTACTAGCGCTTGCCCTCTCGCTGGGGTGGTTTTCCACTTTCTCTCCATACTTCCTCCTCAGCTCTGTCCATTTCCTGTGATGCTGGGGGCAGAGCCCTGGGCCTCACAAATGCTAGGCAGGTGCTGCATCCCTGAGCTCTACCCCAGCCCCGTTCTTCATGAAAATGCATTCCATTCACACGGGTGCATGTGCCCCTCCTCGCTTACGATACATGATGTCTGTCCCTCGCTGTCCCCGGCTGTGGGCGGAGTCCCTTGCATTCAGAGTGCTCCACCCTTGGCATGGGTGGAGCCAGCCCATGACCTCATCTCCCCTCTCTGCTGTGGGCTTTTGGGCAGGTCTGGAGCTCTGGGGAGGCCAAGGAGCAGGCCCTGTCCCCTCAAGTGGGGACAAGAGGCTGGGCTGTGGGTGATGCCTGATAACCTGATGGGCCTGCAAGGAGCAGTTCCCACGGGCCCCCATCCCCTCAAACTCCGGGTGAAGGGTGGAGGGATGAGGCTTGGGGGATCAGGAGATGGTATGTTCCCTTCCCCACAGCATATTCCTAGCATAGAACAGGATTTGAGGGGTGAGGGGGCTCCCATAGTGGATCCATGCCACGAGGTACAGGCACTCTTACGGTGCCTGCCTTCGCCGGCATCGCTCTCCCTGAAGCTGAGGGCCCTTCCCCAGTGGAATATGAACATTTTAAAGTTTGGCTTCTAGGATCAGGAAACCTTGTCTTATCCTTTTTCCAGAGTGATGAGTGCTGGCAATGTCACCTCCTGCCCCATGGGTTCGCAGGATCTCAGCTGTGTCCTGCCCCTTAGCAACAGAGTCTGCCGCCTAGGCCTATATATCCCTCTAGCCTCTGCTCCAGCTCAGAGTTGGGGGTCTTTCAGGCCTGGCACATGTTGTGCCCGGTGTACAACACCCTTCCCTTTTCTCTCCCTGGTGAGATCCAGCTCTTCCGGTTAGCCTCAGCCAGGTTAAGGTTCCCGGGCCCTGATTCCTTCACCTAGATCGCTGCCAGCGTCTCAGCTTGGGTTCTCCTGGTGCCCGGGAGGTGTTAGTTGGGCGCAGTGCGTGCCTGGGCCCTGCGCCACCTCAGCCCGCGCCTTCCGCAGCTCCTGCCGCTGGACGGAGAGTTCGTCCTGGCCCCTGGAGCCTCATTCAGCGCTGCAGGAGTCGGCTCGGACCCGGCCTGTCACTCCGGAGAGGAAGGTGAAGGGGGCGTGGCTCAGGAGGGGGACGCGGGGCGTGGCTAGAGTGGGCGTGCTTTGGAGAGGGCGGGGCGCGGGGCTCAGTGCGCGGCGTGGGTTGGTGCGTGCCTCCGTAGGCACCCCGTTGCTCTTCCGAAATCCCGACCGCTTCTCCTGGCTTGACCCTCACCTGTGGAGCTCCGCGACCCAGGCGCCCGGCCTCTTCTCCGTGGACGCCGAGCGCGTGCCCTGCAGCCACGACGATGTCCTCTTCCCGCGCGACGGGTCTTTCCGCGTAGCGCTCGGCCCGGGCCCCAACCCGGTGCACGTCCGCAGCGTCTCGGCCGTGGGCCAGGTGAGCAGGCGCGGGAGGGCTCGGGTCCCATCCCCTGTGCGCGTCCCCATGGCGTCCTGCGGCTGCGCGCGTGGCCCCGCGCGCTCAGACTCTCTCCTCGCCTGCCACCGGTGATGCCGCCACCCGCAGACGTTCACGCGCGACGAGGACCTGGCGTCTTTCCTGGCGTCCCGCGAGGGTCGCCTGCGCTTCCATGGGCCGGGCACGGTGAGAGTGGGCTCCCAGGCCTGCACCGACGCGTCAGGCTGCGTCTGTGGCTACGCCGAGGTGAGTGAGCCTGGGCCGCGGACGGTGCGAGGTCTGCTCGGCCGTGGTGGGGCGCGTGGCTGCCGCTGCGTTTTCCAGCACTCACCGCCGTGTCCCCACCCAGACGCTGCCGTGGATCTGCGCGTCTCTGCTGCAGCCCCTGGGCGGCCGCTGCCCCCAGGCCACCTGCCGCGACCCGGTGCTGCCCCAAGGCCAGTGCTGCGACCTCTGCGGTGAGCGCCCCGCCGGCCCTCTAATGTGCACCCCGCGGGCTCCCCTCTCTTGCTGGGGTCCGCGGCGTTGATCTGTCCTCCCGTCGCAGGAGCCATCGTATCGTTGACCCACGACCCCACATTTGACCTGGAGCAGTATCGAGCACGGTTGCTGGACCTCTTCGTAAAGCAGGTAACGAGGCCACAGGGAGGGTCCCGGCTGCTGGCAGCTGCGCCCCGACTCTACTGCCCCCCCCCCCGCCCCCAGCCCGAAGGCAGACTCCGGATCAGCGCTCTCCCTCCCCAGCCCCAGTACCAGGGGGTGCAGGTGGCTGTGTCCAAGGTGCTGCACGAGGCTCACACCGAGATCCAGGTGGTGCTGGTGGAGACCGGGCCCGAGACCGGCGCAGCGGGGCGGCTGGGCCACGCGCTCCTGCAGGACGCGGAGGCACAAGGTAACCTCGCGCCCTCCCGGCCCTCCGCTGCCCCGGCTGCCTGGGAGCCGCCGCTGAATCCCCCTTGTTGCAGGCGGCGTGCTCGGCATCCTGTCGGCGACCCTGCGTCAGTCGGGCATGCCCGCGACGGGAGGCTCCGCGCTGTATCTGGACAGGTCCGGTGCCTGGCTGGCGGGCAGCGTGGCAGCCGTGGTGCTGCTGGCACTGCTGGGGACGGTGCTGCTGCTGCTGCACCGCAGCGGGAGGCTCAGGTACGCCGGCCCCTCCCGAGGGCGGGCTCCCAGAGGTTGGCCGGGCTGGAGGGCTTCACCTGCTCCTGCATCCCGCAGGTGGAGAAGGCATGAAGAGGCTGGGCCCGCAACCGCTGGGCTGCCGCTGGGTTTCCGCAATCCGCTTTTCGATGTGATGGTCTTCAAGCAGCAGGTGAGACAGCAGGAAGAAGCTTTGGGGGTCTTCCCAGGGGCTGGTACTTGGCACCATGAGCCCCTGACACTGTAATCCCGCAGCCACAGCCCTCGGTGGAGCCGCTTGGCTCAGCCCAGAAGGTGGACATCCTCGACACCAACTTCAGCTACTTCGTTAACCCACTCTTTGCCGGGGAGGCAGAAGCAGAGGCCTGACCTCTTCTGGAAGAATGCTATCCCTCCAGCCAGTGGACAATTCATCCCCTCTGAGACCACGACTTCTCTCCTGATGGCAAGGACGGGCCCACCTTGTCCAATAAAGGGTTGTTTGGGTTTTTGTTCTTTTTTAACCTGCTAGCATGGGTGGTCATACTTCTAACTTCAACTTACTTGACTTATGGGGATCTGAACTCAGGTCCTCAGACCTGCCCTGCAAGTGTTCTTACCCACTCCTCATGGTGTTTTGTTTTGAGGTGGGAGTCTCACCATATATCCTAGGAAGGCATTAAAACACCGGGGCTCAAATATCTCTCTGCCTTAGCCTCCAGGACTAGTGGGGCTTTAGGCCATTGATGGCCACTGATGCTCCGATGGACCTGTCCCAGTTGTTGACCTGGTCAGGCTTGGTCTCATGTCAGAGCGAAGTAATTGGTGACTTTGAGTCCCCTCAGCTCACTGCCAGGTTCAGTCTCGCTACCCCATCAGCACCCACTCATTCTGGTCTTTATCTGTTGTTTCTGGTTATGGGTCCAGGAGCAGGGGTCTGCTCTTTGTAGCCACACAGTGGACAGGAAGCTTGTCCCTTCGGTTCATCATGGCAGGATGCCCGGCTTTAGCTTACAGGGCGGTAGGAAAGAGCAGTTCCAGTTCTTAGTAATTTTGTGTGTGTGTGTTGGGGGGGAATTGTATCAGTGCTAGGCATGGTGGTGAGCGCCTGCAATCCCAGTGCTAACAACGGAGGCAGGAGGATAGAGTTTGAGGACAGCCTGGGCAACACTGTAAAACTGCCTAAATAAACAAAAACAAAGTAAGCAAAGAGGAGGAGCGGAGGGGCTGAGGAGATGGCTCAGGGGCTAAATATTTGCCTTGCAAGTAGGGGAGCTGAGGTTGATTCCCAGACCGCGCAGGCATGGGGTGCAAGCTAGTAACCGCAATGCTGGGGAGGTAGCTGCCTGTCTAGTCTTTGTGAGCCCCAGAGGGAAGACACCTGCACAGGTTCTCTGCCCCACACGCCTGCATGCACACACATGCACCTGTATGCACCTGAACATGCACACATACATGCACACTCCCCTCACAAGAAGGAAGAAAGAAAATTAGATTGGCAACACAGGCAAGGATTTAGGATGGATTCTAGTCTAGAAGTAGAAAAATAAAAAATCCCTTACAAAACAAACGGGCTGGAGAGATGATCAGCAGTTAACTACTGTTTTTGCAGAGGACCAGAGTTGGGTTCCCAGCACCCACATGGTGGCTCACAACCATCTCTAACTCCAGTTCCAAGGGATCTGATACCCTCTTCTGGCCTCTGAGGGCACCTGCACACACATGGTGTACATACAGACAAGCAGGCACGTGTACACACATATAAATAAAATCTTAAACAGCAACAACAAAACAACAGTGTTTTATAAACAGCCGGTTTCATGGATGCTCTGTCTGGGTTCATGTAATTCCTACGTGTAGTGGTTGAGCTTCCTCGGCTGTGTGCACCCAGCAGATCGGAACTCTGAAGTGCACATGTGGAAGCCAGAGGTGGACCTTGGGCTCCTCTATCACTCTCCAACTTAGTCTTTTGAGACAGGATCTCTCACTGAATCTCAGGCTCACTGATTGAGCTAGACGGGCTGGCAGCAAGCCCCATTGATTTCCTGGCTTTGTCTCTCCAGTGCTGGGCACATGTGGGCACACGCTACCACACCTGTGGCTTTTTTTTTTTATGATTTTGTTTTCAGTTGGGTGGGGGCGCATGCCTTTAATCCCAGCACTTGGGAGTGAGAGCCAGGCAGATCTCTGTGAGTTCGAGGGCAGCCTGGTCTACAGAGCAAGTTCCAGGACAGGCACCAAAACTACATGGAGAAACCCTGTCTCGAAAAACAACAACAACAAAAGATTTTGTTTTCATTATGTGTTTGTGTGTGTGTGAATGCGAGTGTGTGGAATATGTGTATGGGTGACCATGGAAGTCAGAGGACATTCATTGGGACTGGAGTTCTAGGCAGTTGTGAGCTGTCATGTGGGTACTGGGAACCAAACACAGGTCCTCTGCAAGAAGAAGTCTTCCTACCGGTTTGAGCCAGCTCTCCAGCTGCCCCTCTGCACTGTAGCTTTATGTGGGTTCTCATGTGAGGACCAGCCTTGGGTCAGTCAGAGTTCTGAATATCATTGTTTTCTTGAGATTTAGCCCCGGCCAGCCTGGAACTTGCTATGTAGACCAGGCTAACCTCAGAGACACAGAGCTTATTCTGCCTCTGCCTCTCATGTTTTGGAATTAAATGTGTGTGCTACCATGTCTAGCCTGACATTTTGAATTTTGTTTAATGATTTTTTTAATCAAATGATTTATTTTTTAGTTTATGTGAATGTGTGGTTCCCTTCATGGATATATGTGCAGCATATGTGGTGCCTGTGGTGGCCAGAAGAGGGTGTTTGATCTTCTGGACTAGAGTTACAGGTGCATCTGATGTGGGGCCTGGAAACTGTGTATGAGTGCTTTATCTGCATGTACAACTTTACGCCAGAAGAGGGCATCAGATCCCACTAGAGATGGTTGTGAGCTACCATGTGGGTGCTGGGAGTTGAACTCAGGACCTCTGGAAGAGCAGACAGTGCTCTTAACCACTGAGCCACCTCTCCAGCCCTACTTCATCCATCTTGAAAGTGATCGGAACTCTGTACTGAGAGTATTTATGAATCCAGAACCTGACAGCCAACATTTCAGAACTGTGGGCGACAAGCTAATTAGAACAGCCACGGTGAGAATTTTTTAATTTAGTCACTGACAAGGGAGTTGGCTTTGGTGGCGTTTTTTAATGAGTGGGCCCGAGGCATCACAGGAGGACAGTTTGGCAGTTTTCATCAGTAACATCTATGTGACTTAAAGAGCTCTTGATTGAAGCCTTTTGATGGCACTTCCTATGTGATCTAATACCCCAGGTCCACCTACTCAGCCAGGCTGTAGATGGGCGAGGCATCACGGTGGGGGTGTCTTCTGGGCCCTAATGTAAAATCAGAGTCTAAAAGACTTAATTACTGAGTCCCTCTGAAGATGACCTGACCAGATCTCTCTGCCCACACTAGACGTATCCTGGTAGAGCTAGGTGCTGTGGGATGTCTTTCTGTATGTTGTGAATATGTGTTGCTCTGATTGGTTGATAAGGTTGCATTGGCCTATGGCAAGGCAGCTTAGAGGCAGGCAGGAAATCCAAGCAGATATCCGGAGAGAAGAAAGGAGAGAAGGGAGAGATGCCAGCCACCACCAAAGAGCAACAAGATGCCAGCAGACCGGTAATACCATGGCTACGTGGCAACCTTTAGATTAATAGAAATGGGTTAAGTTATAAGAGTAGCTAGCAAGAAGCCTGCCATAGGCCATACAATTGGTAGTTAATATAAGCCTCTGAATGACTATTTTATAAGTGGCTGAGGGACTGTGGGGCTGGGCAGAACCGGAGGACCTGGGGACTGCCAGGCCTGGTGGGACCAGAGAAACCTTCCGGCTACAGCTGGGCACTGCATGCGTGCACTGGAGTGCCCAGGAGGCCATGGGCCTGTTCAAAGGCTTTAAGCAAAGGGAGGCTTTAAAAGCAGCATTTAAAAATAAAGCTGGAAGGCTTCACAAGGAAGGGGCCAGTCTGGAGCTGAAGTTGTCACTGGACAAACGTCCTTGAAGAAGTGGGTTGTGGGAGGCTGTGTTCTGAAGTTCCATGATGTTCTTGTCCGGTGCGCTGCACAGGCATGGGCTCTCCCCCTTCCTAACTCTTATTCTTACTCATTTTTATTGTGGTTCTGGCTCCCAAGCAAGAATCCATCTTGCTTTTTACAATTGTTATACTCGCTGTAAGGCAAAGCCCACCCTTCCCCAAGGGCAGTTCTGAGGTACACACTTGTTGTGGAATATTATTTTAACTAGGTAAAGATGTTTTGCACTTATTTATGCTGCAGAATATTAGTCTAACTGTGTAAAGGTGTGTTACTTTTGTTTATGCTGCCTTTGTTTAATTGTGTAAAGATGTGTTGCATCTGTTTCACCTTACCTGCCTAAGGCACCTGATTGGGCTAATAAAGAGACGAACAGCCAATAGCTAGGCAAGAAAAGTATAGGTGGGGCTGGTGGGCAGAGAGAGAGGGAGGGAGAGAGAGGAAGAAGAGGAGGAGGAGGAAGAGGGAGAGAGGGAGGGAGAGAGAGGGAGAGAGAGAGAGAGGGAGAGGGAGAGAGGGAGAGGGAGAGAGGGAGGGAGAGAGAGGGAGAGAGAGGGAGAGAGAGAGAGGAAGAAGAGGAGGAGGAGGAGGAAGAGGAGAGGAGAAAGAAGGACAATCCTAGGGCCAGAGGCAGGCAGCGGCCAGACAGACAGACATACAGACAGCAGGAAAGTAAGATACAGAAAGAAGGTAAAAAGGCCCGAGGCAAAATGTAGATAAAGAGAAACAGATTAAAATAAGAGCGAAAATAAGGCCAAGCATTCATAACCAATATGAAGTCTGTGTCATGATTTGGGAGCTGGTTGGTGACCTAAGAGAAAAAGCCTGGTACAGACACTGGGGAGCCAGAGCTGGAGTGGACAGCCACTGGGCAGGTCATAACATAACTGCCATTGGGCAGTGTGCACAGATGCCAGGGTTCCTGACTGGATATGTGCAGCTTGAACAGTCAGCAACCATTTCTTCACGTCGTCAGGTGCTCCTGAAATGGCTCTGTCCCCATCACAGCCTAGGATATCCCATCACTGGGATAGCTTAGCTGTGTGGGGTTTCATGTAAATGAGATGCCTGTGGTACTCTTGTGGCCGTGACTCATTTACAATGCTGCCACTCTCCTAAGATGACTAGGATTTTGAAAAGTGGCTCACGCTGGAGCGTTGTTTTCAGACCAGAGCGTCCAGCTATGGCCATTCCTTTCTCAGTCCTCAAGCCTACCATGTACAGATGTCAGGGATGGATCAGCCCACCCAGCCCAGCTGGTTCCTGGTTCCTAGTGCTCTGCTCCTTCAGCCACCAGCTCGGAAGGGCCCTCTTGTCTTAAGCAGCCCACTATGTCCCTATGTAAGCCCCTCTAGGCATCCTGGAGGACTGTGCTCCCAGGAGGTTGTAGTTGATTTGCCCAAGAAATGTGACCCCCCCCCATGGGTAC